TCACTTTTCTTTCTCTATCTTAGGCTCAATGACAAAGGGCTCTTTTATACAATCTTCTAGAAAGATGGCACAGTCCTATGTTAAGCAAGATGTTTACAAGGAGGTTTGCTTTGGAAAGTAAATTCCCTATATCCTGACTGCTGTTACCAACCACTTGTAGGCCCTCAAAGGCCTTTGGAGCCTGAAGACCACTGAATTACAAGATAAAAATTCCTCTAACCCCAAGTTTCAAGACTGTTGTCTTGTTCCACTGTTTCATGGTGACTTTGTCTTCAAATGGGCAGAATATGTTTCTTTCGCCCATTTGAATCTTCCTACAGGCCTACCACTATGTGGGGCCCATTGAAGATTCTCCATCTAACCTGGTAATGCCAATGAAATTCTAGGATTGAAGAAGAGAGGCACTAGATCTGTACTGACAACATGTGGCTGCCTACACACCACTTTCAGTTTCTTAACTGAATTTCACAAGTAACTGCTCTGGGCCTAACATTGTGATAGGCATTGGGGATCTAAAATAAGTAGGATGATATTGTCTCTGATATCAGAGTAGTTCTTAATCTAATGTTGGGTGTTGGGGTGGTAGGTGGTATTCCAGAGTACAGGCTCTTCTTCCTGGTGTGACAAGATCCATATCAAATGGTAGCTTGTTTATATTTTACACTCATTTTTGCCCCAGGGAGTCTCTAGCATGGGAAGCCATAGGCTAGGAAGGTTGCTACAAGGTGCTCTCATGTTACTATATCTGGTAGAGAACTGGGGTGGCACATGGTTCTGGCTCTAGGCTCCTGGTCTACTGGTTCGCTCCCATTGTACTTTTTTTAATCCTCTTACGGGGAAACCTACAGTCTGTCTGGAGTGCAAGGATGTTTCTTTAACTTGTCTTTACCCATGCATACTGAGAAATTTCTTCTGTTAACTCGTTAATAACAGCTGTTGAAATTCCAGCGAGGTCTATGGATGCATATGTACACTCACAACAGAATTTATTTCATATCCTGTTAACTTATTAATCTTTTCTCTCTCATTCTTGAATATAATGTCCCTGGGTTTACGAGGTAAAAGTGGACCTGGCTAGATTAGCGGTGACTGCTTGGAGCAGTACTGCCCTTTCCATGTACAGGCAATTCCAGATCATAAAATAAGAAACACATGCTTTTGCATACAAAACCATTAAGAGTGCATAAAGAAACACATTTTTCACCTTCTCCTCTCTTTGGAATAGAGATGAAGTAGGAAGTTAAGCCATAAACTTCCAGGGAAAAAAATCCCAACCTCTTTTGGATAGGACTGGCTAAGGTTCTATTAGATGGTTTCTATAAAATAAAACTGGCAAAAGGACACACAACTTGATCTGTGCATTTGAGCTTTCTTTTTTTAATCTTAGACATAAATTCCACTCTTTTCTCTTCTGAAAAGATCCAGTCCCATTATCCCCTGGCTGAGACTAACACTCTTCCTTTGGCCCAGGGGTGAGGAGAGTATTAGTGACAAGTAAGAAAAGAGAGTGACAGCTGTGATTATGAATTATTACCTGCATCTGGGTGTGTTATTGTGTGTGTGAGCATATCAGTGAAAAAGCGTGTGAATGTGGCAATATCAGTATGGTGACCTGTATAAGAGTTTGGGAAAGTATACATGGGTATGTGCATAAGAGTATGGGTCGCTATAAGCATGTGTAAATCAATGTGAGTAGATATGGGTCAATAGGATCATCTCAGTGAAGGAGTGTAGGTTAACATCAATCTGAGTATGTGTCAGTGTCAATGAGTCCACGTGAGAGTCCGGATAAGAGTCCATGGTAGTTCAGGAGAATGTGTCAAGTGAGAGTCAGTGGTTTATGCATCAGTGTGACTGTGTAGGCATGTGGATCAGTGTGACCAAGTATATCAAAAGGAGGATGTGGCAGGGTGAATGTGAGTCTGAATGAAGGTCAGTCTCTGTGGCCATATGTGAAATCATTCACTTCTTCTGTGTGAGTACATGTATGCATTTTTGTGAATTGACTATGATAATGTTAATTGTGTGAGTCAGTGTGGTGTGTTCCAGTGTAAATGCAGTTAGTGACTATGTATGCCACTACATGTGCACTGGTGTGAATGTGTGTAGCAATGTGAATGTGCTGTCAGTATGAGAGGGAAATGTGTAAGAATGCGAGTGTGTGGGAAGTGTGATTGTGACTGTGAATATATGTGATATACAAATGGGAGTTGGTGCATGAGAGGGTATAAATGTGAATGGACATGAGTGTCAAGTAGTAAGATTGTGTGCACATGGAGATGTATGGGAGTGTATGATTTTGTGTGTGCAGTTGTGAATATGAGAATATGTGAAAATGAGAGAACATAACCATCTAAGCCTGGGTGTGAAGTAAGTGTGATTCTGGGTTAATGTGAATTTGTGTGAGTACTGAATGGGAGTGAGCATATGTATGTGTCAGTGTGTCAGGTGACTACATTGTGTATGATTGTGTATGAATGTGAGAGTAGGGTGACATGTGTCAGAAAATGGCTGCGTTTATAAAAATGAGTGTGCTTGTGATTGTATTTGATAATGTATGCCTTTGAGTTTGGTGAAGAGTGCAATTATGACTCAGTGTAAAAGTATTAAAGTGTGAATGTGTATGAAAATAAGTGTGTTTTTATGTGTAAGTCTGATTATGTGTGAATGTGACAGGATAGGGAGATTGTGCCAAGTGCTGAGCATGTAATCCTGAGTGTAAGAATGCAAGAAGGTATAAAAGCTTAAATGGGTGAGATTGTGTTTATGGTGTAAGCATGTATAAATGTAAATATATGAGCATGCATGCGTGTTTGTATGTACCTGTGATGAAAGCTGTATAAGTGTGTGAATGTGAGGAGAAAATAGTGTAGATGTATTGTAGCAAAACAAACTGAGTGTGCGTATGACTATGAGAAACAAGTAGAGGAAAGTCAATGTGTTTGTGTGTCCAGTGTGTGTAACTGTGTAGGAATTTGAGGGCTAAGGGTGATTTTATCATCTGTGTGGATGTGAGTATAAAATGTGACTGTAAGTGTGTGAGACTATAAGAAAGCATAAAGGTATGAGAGGTAAGAACATGAGAATGGGGTGTATGGCAAGTATGAGTGTGTCAGTATGAAAATGTGAACATATAAATGTGAATATGTGTCAGTGTGTAGCAGTATGAATGTGCTGGCATGTAGTGGGTTTGTAAATATGACTGTGTGTGAGGGTGAGGGGGTAAGAGTGATCATCACTACGAACGTGTTCAGTGTGAGTCAAAGAAGTAAATATGATTGTGTGAATGTACAAGAGTATGTGAACATGCCTATGAGAGTGTGTGTATGAGCACTGAAGGGTACCAAAAGATTTGGGATGCTGAGAAACTCTCCAGGGAGTGTCTTTCCTCCCAAAGCTGCATATGTCCAGTTACAGGCAAGATACTTAGCCCCTCTCAGCCTCTATCTCCTCATGAGTAAAGCAGTGATGATAATAATACCTGCCTTGAGCTAGTATCGCTTTTATAATCAGAAACAAATACAGTAACTATTAAAAAACATACCTACTTTGCAGAGCTACTGTAGGATCAAATGGTCTTATACAAGTAAAATGTCTAGTATAGCGCTGGCAACGGTAGATAATAAATACAAGTTATTACTGTAGCTGTCATCGAATACCCAGGAGAGACCCAGGGGCTTGCTTCTTATTTTAGCCAGTTCTAGTTACCTTCTGTTGCTCAAGGTCTACAGAGGATCCCCTACCAGAGTATCTCTAGAAAGTTGAATGCATCAGTATCAGCAAGGGTGTAATTTCATACCTTCAATTTCATGACTGAAACTTTGAAGCTTCATGAGAAGGCATCACATAAACAACTGCTGCTGGGCTGCAGTTTTCCTCTGTCCTGCAGGCCCAGGACAGATTCATTGTGAAAGAGAATTGCACTGCATATTCCTTGTAGTCTGTTTGTTTGTTTTGTTTCATTTTGTTTGTTTCTCTTCTTGGGCGTTTTTTTAATTTTGGTTTTTTATTTTTGACTTAGGTAATATGAAAGAGCCTAAGTGACAAAGAGATGGAACATCAGACAGAGAGATGGGGGGATGGTCAGATACAAATAAGTAGCAGGACTGCAGTGTATAGCAACAGAATACCAGATGGAGAAGCTGACAGAGGAAGCTATAATGGCTGCCACAGAAGCAAAGAGACAGGGAGATGATCAGAGAGGCAGGCCAAGAAACCTGAAAGATATAGAGAGGAAAAGAGAGAGAGAGGCCCAAATCAAAAAGCTGCTGGCAAACTGCCAGGCACTTGTGAGAGAGACTAGAGAACTGTGATATCTAGTCCCTACCTGGAAGAGCTTAGAGTTTAGTTGATCTGCCAAAATGAGTACTACCGAAATCATGCAAGAATTATTTCAGGCAGTAGAGAAGCAAGAGCTATGCTACATGCTACAGACTCAAGGGTTGCTGGAGAGCTGGGGGAGTAAGTGCTCCCTGGTTGGGTTGGAAGTCAGAGTGAAAGTTCTGGCAGGTTCAAGTTAAGAAGCTGGAATGGATCAGGCTGGTGCTACATTGAATAGGCAGGTAAAATTAAGGTTATGAGGCAATAGAAATTATAAGAACTGATTGGTGAATCTGTGGCATGTAGCTGAAATGCCACTTCAACATCAGGAAAGCAGGAGGAAAGGAAATGACAGCTGGATGGGAAGCAGGTCTGTGTTACACTGAAGCTCTTGGATGCAGCTCAGCTCGATATTAGTGAAGGACTTGGCCATGACTGTTAGGTTGTTTCTCTTACTCCCCCTAGGATGTAGATCAAGGGTATCATTCCCGTATTAGAGATGGGGAATTAGAGACCATGGGCAGCTGTGCTGGGAAAAATCCCACAGAAAGAAGGTAGTGGGTCTTGAGACCTAGCTGGTGAGGCCCAGGCAAGGCCTTTAATATTGGGAGTTCTGGAGAAAGGTGACATTTACCTGAACTTGGAGATCCTAACTCCCTGCCCTGGAATCCATCACTCACCTCACACCACCACCATCGCAGGACCTCAGTACAGGTGGGCACTGCCCATGAGAAGGGGCTGGGCTGCCTTCAGCTCTGATGGACTCAGTGCTGGGTACACCATCTGCCACAAGATGTAAGGATTCAGTTGCTCGCTCTTGGGGGAAACCTGCCAAGAGAAGCATTGTGGGGAAGTGGGAACCTCTTTCCCCACCTACTACTATTTCATCCAACCCCTTCCCCAAAACATTACATACTGTACAGTGAATTTCAGAAAATCCCTTCAAAAGGCAGAGAATCAGAGAAGTGTAAAAGAGCACTGTTACGTAGGAGTCCAGAAATGGCATTGAGTTTCAATTTGAAAAGAACTGTCACATCACCTCTCTGAATCTCCTTGATATCAAGTGGAAAAGATTTGTGTTAGTTGCCTTGGACAAGTGTAGGGAGGACTAAATTAAACATGACAGATATGAAATATTTGCATATTTACCAGAGGTGTTATAGTCCAGTATACAATAGGAAACTGAGAGATGATGGCAAATGCAGGTGGGTTCTGAGGATACCTAAGCTTCCTGGACTGTTCAGTTTTTTTCAACTTTCAACTCCAAATGTCCACCTCTATTTCATTTTCCTTCTCAATGACTCCTTCACCAGGGCAGGAAGCACTCTGAAATCCCCTATATCATCTCACAGCTGCTGAGGGCCTTGGCTTCTGATTCTAATTAGAACTTCCCTCTGTCTTCCCCCAATCTCCAGCACAGGGATGTCTTTTACAGCCTTCTCCAGATTTCCTAGGGTGAATAAATAGAGGGGTGTGTGTGTGTATGTGTGTGTGTGTGTGTGTGTGTGTGTGTGTGTGAGAGAGAGAGAGAGAGAG